CCAAATCGTACGGAAACTGAAGCAATATTTCCTGTAAGAAATAATGTGAATCCAATTAATTCATTCCAGACACACAAAAATATAAAAAAAAATACATTTTATAGAGAATAGCTATAGTTTTACATACTGAAAACAATGAGAAATAAATATAAATGACTAATGAAATGGATAAATGAACATTTAACATTACTTTTACTGAAGACTCTTGATGGTGTATGGAAGATGGCGAGGAGGGAAGAGGGAGGAGGAGAGGTTATTGCTTGGAACAGGAATCCCCATTCAAAAGGAATTCAGGTATCAAGGCCCTATATGGGGTTACTTCCCTTCTTTGTCTTTTACTGGCACTAGGAGCAGCTTGAGAGTCACTGGACCCCTTTCGCACAAAAAATCTGTCCAGAGAGGTCTGTTTCTGGTGTCTCTTTAAGATTTGCCTTGAATTCTATCATGTTTCTCGCCTTCTTTCTTTGGTCCCATGATGGCTTATTTAGCAGTCACACTCAATAAACAAGCACAAAAAACAATGGATTATTAGGAAATGTTTTGGGTGAACGCTCAGGGTGATGCTCACTCAACGATAAACAAAGGGAGACTGAGTCACGATTGCATGGGCGCTCAATTCCAGGAAATGAATGGCTGAGTTATGCGATGAGGTGGATGAGTTTGGTATGGACCCTTTTCGATTGTATGAAAACCGAGCGAATGTACGAAAACTGGGACAAAATTTCATCGAAAACCGAATCATACGAAAACTAGGGCATACGAAAACTGAGGTTTGACTGTATATTAAATATACAGGACATTAAATATGAATATACGTTTTTTCAACATTTGAAAGTACAGTGGTCCCTCAATTATCGTCCATAATCCGTTTCTGGAAGTGGGACTATTATCGAAATGGACGATTTACGAATCAATTTTCCCCATAAGAAATAATGTAAATTCAATTAATCCGTTCCTGACACCCAGAAGTATTAAAACAAAAAATTTTTTTTATATGAAATATAGATGTAGTACATAAACAATACAGTGGCACATAATGAATTAAACATTAACAGAATAACACTTACCTTTATTGGCGATTCTTTGTGTATGGAAGACTGGAGAAGGAGACAGATTGGACGATTTACTGTTTGGAAGGGGAATCCCCTTCCATCAACACCTCGGGTACCAATTGCTTTTCTGGGGTTACTTCTCTTCTCTGTTTCTTAATGCCACTAGGACCACCTTGAGAGTCACTGGAGTCCTGTCTCACAAAAAAACTGTCCAGAGAGCTCTGTTTCTGGCATCTCTTTAAAACTTCCCTAAAATGGGCCAAGACTCTGTCACTGTACAAGTTGCTGATATGGCTTGCAACATCCTTCTCTGGGTGATGTTTCTCCATAAATATTTCCATCCTACCCCACATTTCAAAAATCTCCTTAATTTCTGAAGAAGGCACCTTCCTCCATCTCTCTTCCTCCTCCTCTGCAGCAAGATTCTGAGCTGCGATCTGTTGCTCTTCCTGCTGAAGCTCTTGCAGCTCCTCAGTGGTTAGCTCTTCGTTGTGGTCCTCCACCAACTCTTTGACATCCTCCAAACTCACATCCAACCCCATGGAACTCCCCAGTGCAACAAAAGAGTTTACAACTGACATAGGCTCATCAGGGGCTGCCTCAAACCCTTCAAAATCCCTCTTGTGGACACAATCTGGCCACAATTTTCTCCAAGCAGAGTTCAAAGTCCTGGTAGTCACTCCCTCCCAAGCCTTGCCTATAAGGCATATGCAATGGAGAATACTGAAGTGTTCTTTCCAAAAATCTCGTAGAGTCAAGCGAGTGTCTGAGGTCACATTCAAGCACCTTTCAAACATTGCTTTGGTGTAGAGTTTTTTAAAGTTTGAAATGACTTGCTGGTCCATGGGCTGGAGGAGAGGAGTGGTATTCGGGGGCAAGAACTTTACTGTGATGAACCCAAACTCAGAATTAGGTCATCCAAGTTTGGAGGATGAGCAGGTGCATTGTCCATTACTAGGAGGCACTTGAGATCCAATTTCTTTTCCAAGAGGTAATTCTTCACACTAGGGCCAAATACTTCATTGAACCACTCGACGAAAATGTCCCTTGTGACCCATGCCTTACTATTAGATCTCCAAAACACACACAATTTACTCTTCATAACATTGTTTTTCCTGAACACTCTGGGATTTTCAGAATGGTACACTAGTAATGGCTTAACTTTGAAATCCCACTAGCATTAGCACAGAAAATTAGCGTCAGCCTGTCTTTCATAGGCTTGTGTCCTGGCAGCGCCTTTTCTTCCTGAGTAATGTAGGTCCTCTTTGGCATTTTCTTCCAAAAGAGGCCTGTTTCATCACAATTGAACACTTGTTCAGGTTTCAGTCCTTCACTGTTTATGTACTCCTTGAATTCATGCACATATTTTTCAGTCGCCTTATGGTCCGAACTGGCAGCCTCACCATGCCTTACCACATTGTGTATGCCAGTACGCTTCTTAAATCTCTCAAACCAGCCTTTGCTGGCCTTAAATTCACTCACATCACCACTAGTTGCAGGCAATTTCTTTACCAAATCGTCATGCAACTGCCTAGCTTTTTCACAAATAAGTGACGTCAAAAGACTATCTCCTGCTAATAGTTTCTCATTTATCCACACCAATAATAACTTCTCAACATCTTCGAGTACTGGTGATCTCATTTTTGTCAGAATATTTACCCCCTTTGCAACAACAGCATCCTTGATTTCCTTTTTCTTGGCTATGATGGAAGATATGGTTGTACGGGATATGTTATACATCCTGGCCAGTTCGCCCACACGTACGCCACTATCATATTGTTCAATGATGTTTTACTTAAATTCAATCGTATTTCTCACCTTCTTTACCAAAGGCTTGGCAATAGGAGCTTTCTTTGGAGCCATGGTAACTTATTTAGCACTTAAATAACTTGCAGGCACTAAAATAAATGGAATATTATGAAATATTTCGCTGGAGCACGTGAGGGGACCATCGCTCACTGGTAAACAATGGCACACTGGCTGGAAGGAAAGGCCCAGGCGGCTCAGAGCGTGAGTACGCATCCGGGACGAAGGACTATTAGCGAGTTACCGGACCATTTGCGAGCCAATATTTAAACGAAAAAACAGGACTATTTCCGAAATGGACAACTTTCAGGCCAGACAATTATTGAGGGACCACTGTATGTAAAAAAAGTAGATCTTTTTGTTTTTTTTACATTTGAAAATGTGTAAAAAAAACTTTGATCTACTTTTTTTTTGTTATATTTGAAAATATGTAAAAAAAAACGTAGATCTACTTTTGTAGCACTACACATGTGAACGTAGATCTGCTTGGACCGTTTATGGGTTAATACATTCACTTCCTCCATACTCCTCTCATTCCAATTTGATATCCAATCTTTCAATGTCTAGATTTCTTTATTAGTCTCATGATTTTGATCTTGTTCCTTTTTATGTTCACCTTGAATTGCCTTCTTTTACAGAGCCTCCCAAAATTCACCCAATAAGCTTAGCAATTTTTCTTCAGAATCTCCCTTGAGAAACGTGTCAAGAACAATAACAATTGTGACAAATCTTACTCAGCATCATCTTTTAGTCCTGCACCTCTCTCAACACCCTAACATTCATTTTTTCCAACCTCATCTATAAATATGTTAAATAACCATGGTGACATCACTCATCCCTGTCTATGGCCTATCCTTACTAGAAAATAATTCCCCTTTCTCCTACATACCCTAACTAGAGACCCACTCACCACACCAATACTTTTTAATGGTTTTAGTAATCTACAACCTATTCCACACATTTGCAACATCTGTCACACTGATTCTTTATCCACTCTCTTAAATACCTTTTCTGTAAGTGACAAACAGTTACTTACACTTACCTATGTACTGTTCACTTATATGCTTCAATGTAAACACTTGATTTATACATCTCTTACCCCTTCTTAAATCTAAATCACAATACCAGAGGGACTGATTTGAAATCTACACATTAAAAGAAGAAAATCCTTGTGAGGAAGGGAAGCCCTAGCAAAAACAATGCAATAAATACAATAAGAGTAACTTTATTGACAAGAGGGGCCCATGACATTTCAATAGCTGTCCTTTCAATATTTAAATTTAGGCTTTCTAAAAGATCTTAAACTGTCTTCATGAGAAATTTTCGAACTTTATATAGCATTCTTGATCAACCTGGATTTTTTTTTTTTTAACAAGTCGGCCGTCTCCCACCGAGGCAGGGTGACCCAAAAAAGAAAGGAAATCCCCAAAAAACCTGGATGTGGTGTCTAAATTGGAATGCAAGTGACTAGCTTCAACAATCTAGCCAATCAAGCTGTCAATCCATAAGTCATGTTAGAAACTTTGGTGTGAGAACAATGATCTCCACATTTCAAAATATTCAGTATTTTGAAATTTAAAATCTAGTATGACCAAACGAAAGTTACCCAGGATAAAAATTGTATAAGGAAAGGTTACAAGTTTCAAAACTTGTTTGCACCATGATTTTCAAGGAAAATATGTCGCCAATACTTTAGTGACTACATGAAAGCACACAAACACCCATAGAAACTGAAATTTGACAATAGAGTAGTCCCCCTGTGTCTGTGGGGGGATATGTTTCAAAAGTTACCATGGATAGTAGCAAATGCTATATGCAAGTCATTTTTCATTTACATACATACCCCTGATAAAGTTTAATTGATAAAGTACTCACAATAAGTCAAGAATTAGCACTTTTTCACTGATGGGAAGCACTTCACGACTTCTCTTAGGCTTTGAAGAACTCCCACCATTACTACTGTTGTGCTCTGGTATCATTATTAAACAGAATTAAAGGTTATTTTTGGGCCATGGTAAACCATGGATAATTGAAACAATGGAAACCAAAATCCATGGATACAGGGGTTCTACTGTATTCTCGAAATATCAACAGGTTAAAGTTTAAGGTTAATACAACAACTGTATAATTAACACGACTTACCTATAGACTATAACGGACCATAAACAGATGGACAGTAATTCCTTGTGGCGATTTGGATAAAACAAGGCAGCCAACATAAATGGCAACAGATGGGTAGTGAGTGTTGCTGGCAAACCTTGGGTCACATACCAGTGCCAGGGAAGAACACCATAATGAGATGCTAAACCAGATAGTGCATTGAAGTGAGCAAACCTCCATGGTACAACGACTAATTCACCGTAATACCATGTATCCAATCCCACACTCATGACACCTACAGCTACTCTGAAATGAACAAGAAATTTGTAACATAAAAACCTAGCACACACAGGAAAATCTAATGCAATATCACTTTCTTGAACACAACTGCTTTGCATGACAAATGATTTGTGGACAAACAGTATTAGTACAGTAAATAAATATGAAAAACAAGAGCTATGAATGGTAACAACACTGAGTATGTACCTGTACTGTAAGAATCCCACACCCATCCATCCACCCACCCACCCATCCACTCTGACAGCTTTTCTTTGGAAAAACATTACTGCTGACAATAATATAAATGTCAATTCTGAGGGCTGAATACACCATTTAATCAAAATATGGTGCACTTTATTCCTCAGTTTATTGTAAAAGCATACAATTTCTTCGTATAATAATGTATTACAATAAGGTATACCCTGATATGGACTGTTTGTGAATTTACTAAAAATACTTCTAAAAATCCATAGTATTATTATATCACGCTCCACCAGCTCATCAAATCCCAAAAACCACTTGTCTCCATTTGCTCCTATCCAACATGTTCACTGTACATACTTCATCGACTTATTGAAATATGAAATATATCCATCAAATTCAATATACAGTTGAACATTTTCTTTCCTCTTATTTTTTATCCTTCATATCTTTTAATAGTAAAACTTGTTAAGATTAAAAATGTGAGTTTTTATTTGTAATCATAAGAACTATTAATGGCTGGACTTTGGATCAGCAGATAAAAACTCAGAAAACTATGTTTTTCATACAACATATACCAATTAAATAGTAATACTCACATAATGACAATGTATTTAAATAAAAGCCACATCTTTGAGTGTGTGAACCACAAGTGCTGCAAACAGAGAGGTATAAAAGGGATGGCTGCTGTTGGCCGTACAGCACAAGCTATCCCAACAAGCCATAAGTAGCCACTTTCACAACTTCCTGTTGATAAACCCACACAATAAAAAAGTATAAGTAGAAATATGAATTTAGTCTGGAAAAATATCTGATCTAATATGATCACATAAGCTTGCTAAATGCCCAAATCCTTACCTCTAATTAACTCTTCTACAACCTCCCTTCAACTCTTCTACAAGCTCCCTTCAACTCTTCTACAACCTCCCTTCAACTCTTCCTCATGACACCTACTACACAGAATTATATTTCATTGTTAAGAACTTTTCTAGGTATCTTTTTCTCTACACCCAAGAAACCTAAACAAGTTCTTTGTGCTTTATGAATCACAAGTGTATCATTCATTCAGATACTATCTTCTAATTTCTTTATTTCTCATTCTCTGTATGAGAGTCATACCACAAACTGATCATTGTTAAGACATTTCCTCTATCTTTAAACTTTCCTTTGATGCTACATTTGTAGATATACTTCGAACACAATAAAAAATAATCGACTACTACAGGTGAATCTACAGTAAATGATTTGGGTGATCCTATTAAACCTGATTACAGGTACTGTATGTAAACAAGACTCAAAAGCAAAAAATTATTTAGTCCTAAAAGTACATCACAGATAAAGACATTTGGAAAAGTTACTCAAATGGGATGGCCTGGGAAAGTATCCCAAAAAGGAAATGTCTTTTTGACCAATCTTTTGCTTGTTAAGAGTACCACATGTATACCTGGAGAGGCTTTTGGGGGTCAACACCCCTGCAGCCTGGTCTGTGACCAGACCTCACAGTGGATCATGGCCTGATCAACCAGGCTGTCACTGTTGGCCACATGCAAACCGATGTACGAACCACAGCCTGGCTGGTCACGAACTGAGTTTAAGTGTCTGTCCAGCGCCTTCTTGAAGACAGCCAGGGGTCTATTGGTAATCCCCCTTATCAGGGCTGGATTAACCATTAAGCAAAATAAGCACGTGCTTAGGGCATCAAGGGAAGGGAGGCACCACAAAAATTTTCCATACCTGGATTTACCATGGTCCATGGACCATATGGTGCAAAACTGCAAATGGTGCAACTGAACCAAGGTCCACAAAAAGAGGCTCACACATTAAATGAAAAATACATACATACATATACATATATACAATAATGATAATAATAATAAATAGTAATTATAGAAGTTAATGATATACATTAATCTTGGGAATACAGTACAACAAAATTAGGATCTGGTAACCGTCCCAAGGTCCATGGAGGATCATGTGAACGTTCTTGTCTTGGTCATGTCAGCTGTCCCATTCAGTCATCCACTTAGAGAGCAACAGTGTTCAGTAGCTCACTCAGCATTCAGTGTGCCAACAACACATGTGCTAACATTGTAACTTTGTAAGTAAGCTGATTTCTGTTTTTTATTTCTCTCTCTCCCACTTCTTTCAATTTTCATGACACTGACAACAAATAATATGCTTAATGTTTCATAATTCTGAGGACTGATAGTGCTTATGAAATATCGTGAAACCCATGTAAATGGCCAAACAGTGTATAGCGCTACTTTTGACTATGCTTGTATTTTCTGATTTTTATTTTTCACATGGTGGTGGACTGGTGGTGATAACTGAGTTGTATTTCATTACATCAATTTATGTGGTGTTGGTGATGTCTCCATGTGCATTTTTTTTGTACATGGTACTGTGTTGGTGATGGTGGTGAGGAGTCTGAGTACAGTGTGTTTTTTTTTTCGTCATGTGGTGGTGGCAGTGACTAAGTTTATTTTATCACGCTACATAAGGCAGCCTGCATCCACACGCTACTACATGGGTTCGAGTCCTTCTGACACTACTAATTTATACTGCCCTCCCAGCAACTCCATTTTTCAGTTTACAAACTCTGAGACAAAATCTGTCTATATTAATTAAAGCATGAAAGCACAAGATTCAGCTCTAAGCTGGGAATTAAACTGTTCATATAGTTCTGCCTGTGACATGTGTAACTGTGTTGATTGGGGGGCACCAAAATCTTATAAGTGCTTAGGGCCTCTTAAGGGTCTTAATCTGGCCCTACCCCTTATGTATGTTGGAAGGCAGCTGAACAATCTTGGGCCCCTGACATTTATTGTGTTGTCTCTTAGCATACTCATGACACCCCTGTTTTTCATTGGGGGATGTTGCATCTCCTGCCAAGTCTTTTGCTTATGAAGAGAGTGATTTTCATGTGCAAATTTGGTACTAGTCCCTCTAGGATTTTCCAAGTGTGTATTATTGTATATCTTTCTTGCCTGCATTCCAGGGAATGCAAGTCAAGGGACTTCAACTGTTCCCAGTAATTTTGGTGTTTTATTGTACTTACGTGTGTCGTCAACGTTTTCTATACGTTCTCCAGGTCCTGGAGTTTACCTGGAGTTTACCTGGAGAGAGTTCCGGGGGTCAACGCCCCCGCGGCCCGGTCTGAGACCAGGCCTCCTGGTGGATCAGAGCCTGATCAACCAGGCTGTTGCTGCTGGCTGCACGCAAACCAACATACGAGCCACAGCCCGGCTGATCCGGAACTGACTTTAGGTGCTTGTCCAGTGCCAGCTTGAAGACTGCCAGGGGTCTGTTGGTAATCCCCCTTATGTGTGCTGGGAGGCAGTTGAACAGTCTCGGGCCCCTGACACTTATTGTATGGTCTCTTAACGTGCTAGTGACACCCCTGCTTTTCATTGGGGGGATGGTGCATCGTCTGCCAAGTCTTTTGCTTTCGTAGTGGGTGATTTTCGTGTGCAAGTTCGGTACTAGTCCCTCTAGGATTTTCCAGGTGTATATAATCATGTATCTCTCCCTCCTGCGTTCCAGGGAATACAGGTTTAGGAACCTCAAGCGCTCCCAATAATTGAGGTGTTTTATCTCCGTTATGCGCGCCGTGAAAGTTCTCTGTACATTTTCTAGGTCGGCAATTTCACCTGCCTTGAAAGGTGCTGTTAGTGTGCAGCAATATTCCAGCCTAGATAGAACAAGTGACCTGAAGAGTGTCATCATGGGCTTGGCCTCCCTAGTTTTGAAGGTTCTCATTATCCATCCTGTCATTTTTCTAGCAGATGCGATTGATACAATGTTATGGTCCTTGAAGGTGAGATCCTCCGACATGATCACTCCCAGGTCTTTGACGTTGGTGTTTCGCTCTATTTTGTGGCCAGAATTTGTTTTGTACTCTGATGAAGATTTAATTTCCTCATGTTTACCATATCTGAGTAATTGAAATTTCTCATCGTTGAACTTCATATTGTTTTCTGCAGCCCACTGAAAGATTTGGTTGATGTCTGCCTGGAGCTTTGCAGTGTCTGCAATGGAAGACACTGTCATGCAGATTCGGGTGTCATCTGCAAAGGAAGACACGGTGCTGTGGCTGACATCCTTGTCTATGTCGGATATAAGGATGAGGAACAAGATGGGAGCGAGTACTGTGCCTTGTGGAACAGAGCTTTTCACCGTAGCTGCCTCGGACTTTACTCTGTTGACGACTACTCTCTGTGTTCTGTTAGTGAGGAAATTATAGATCCATCGACCGACTTTTCCTGTTATTCCTTTAGCACGCATTTTGTGCGCTATTACGCCATGGTCACACTTGTCGAAGGCTTTTGCAAAGTCTGTATATATTACATCTGCATTCTTTTTGTCTTCTAGTGCATTTAGGACCTTGTCGTAGTGGTCCAATAGTTGAGACAGACAGGAGCGACCTGTTCTAAACCCATGTTGCCCTGGGTTGTGTAACTGATGGGTTTCTAGATGCGTGGTGATCTTGCTTCTTAGGACCCTTTCAAAGATTTTTATGATATGGGATGTTAGTGCTATTGGTCTGTAGTTCTTTGCTGTTGCTTTACTGCCCCCTTTGTGGAGTGGGGCTATGTCTGTTGTTTTTAGTAACTGTGGGACGACCCCCGTGTCCATGCTCCCTCTCCATAGGATGGAAAAGGCTCGTGATAGGGGCTTCTTGCAGTTCTTGATGAACACAGAGTTCCATGAGTCTGGCCCTGGGGCAGAGTGCATGGGCATGTCATTTATCGCCTGTTCGAAGTCATTTGGCGTCAGGATAACATCGGATAGGCTTGTGTTAATCAAATTTTGTGGCTCTCTCATAAAAAATTCATTTTGATCTTCGACTCTCAGTCTGGTTAGCGGCTTGCTAAAAACTGAGTCATATTGGGACTTGAGTAGCTCACTCATTTCCTTGTTGTCATCTGTGTAGGACCCATCTTGTTTAAGTAGGGGCCCAATACTGGACGTTGTTCTCGATTTTGATTTGGCATAGGAGAAGAAATACTTTGGGTTTCTTTCGATTTCATTTATGGCTTTTAGTTCTTCCCGCGATTCCTGACTCCTAAAGGATTCTTTTAGCTTAAGTTCGATGCTTGCTATTTCTCTGACCAGTGTCTCCCTACGCATTTCAGATATATTGACCTCTTTTAGCCGCTCTGTTATTCTTTTCCGTCGCCTGTAAAGGGAGCGCCTGTCTCTTTCTGTTTTACATCTACTCCTCCTTTTTCTTAGAGGAATAAGCCTTGTGCATACATCGAGTGCTACCGAGTTAATCTGTTCTAGGCATAAGTTGGGGTCTGTGTTGCTTAGTATATCTTCCCAGCTTATATCGGTTAGGACTTGGTTTACTTGGTCCCACTTTATGTTTTTGTTATTGAAGTTGAATTTGGTGAATGCTCCCTCGTGACTAATCTCATTATGTCGGTCTGGGGCTCCGCGCATACATGACTGAACCTCAATTATGTTGTGATCTGAGTATATTGTTTTTGATATGGTGATATTTCTTATCAGATCATCATTGTTAGTGAAGATGAGGTCTAGTGTATTCTCCAGTCTAGTAGGCTCTATTATTTGCTGGTTTAAATTGAATTTTGTGCAGAGATTTAAAAGCTCGCGTGAGTGTGAGTTTTCATCAGAGCTGCCTCCTGGTGTTATTACTGCAACAATATTATTTGCTATATTTCCTATATTCCTGCCTTGAAAGGAGCCATTAGTGTATAGCAATATTCCAGCCTAGAGAGAGA